CTTATGTAAACGAGGGAGGTCCGTATCCTTTTCATTGATAGGCAATCTAAAGGATTGTTATACCGAAGCATGATTAGCCATTATATCGACTTTTGAAATATACTAGGGTCAGGTCCTTTTATAAAGATACCATATTTTCATTATTATTACTAATATCATTTCTACTGTTTTTTTTTGCCGTTGACAATTATTACAATTTGAATTATGTGGAGAAACGTAAGCCACCAACAAGACGCCAAGAACAAAAGTGAGAATAATGATTCCCTTTTACTGCTCAGTTTATACTGATGATAGCTCAAGTGAAACTAAATGAAACCCTACCCAAGAATTTCCAAAGTTGTACTTGAGAAACATTGGCACCATTAACAAGTTCATAAGCACATTATATAAAGCAACATTTTTTATTTCATAGCTTCAACTACAGATAACAAAGCACATAAAAACCTCAAATTCATTGGAATTCATTTGCTATCAAATGTCCTACTTGCGGCTATGAGTTACCTAAATCCTTAAGTGACATTCCTATATGAGAACAGGGTTAACATAATTTACTACCAGGCATGCTTACGAGCATCAACAACGTTTAAATCAAACCGTACAAGGAAATACCATATCTCCAATGGATATGATTTTGACGACCATAAAACATTCTAATAATCTCTATAAACCTGATCTTTTTGTGTTGAAAGTTGATCTGTCGAAATATATCGTTAATAGCGAAGCGTTGAAGAACAGGATGTTTGCTATCTAGAAATGCAAACTGTACAAAATGTATATGTTAGTCATCACTCCAATCACAGAACTTCGCTGAAACCTGTCCTTTTTATTTTGTTTCAGGTCGATGTAGAAAGTCTGCCGTCCCCTTGATTTCAAGTTCTATAGGGTATATCATAAATTCCTCGTCAATGAATTAATTAAATCACTTAAAGAGGTAGATTGGAAGTGAAAGACTCAATGTCTTGTTCCGATTAGTACGTCAATAAACTCATTTTAAAGAAATAAGTCAGCGAAGTCTGGGCATTTTACAGATCGATTAAGTATAAATAAAACAATGTATTAACCTTAAGTTATTCATCACATTTGGAACGTTAAATGTAATAAATGTTACAGCATTAAGATAAATTTATTGTACTAACGTTCTTGTAGCCTGTTTTAATTCATCTGATTGCTGATCTTTAATGAGGAGAACGATTATTTTTATTCAAAGTGAACAATATATGTATATGTGTAAAATGATTAATCGATTGCTGATTACAACTTAAAATTGAAAATATTTTTTTGATAATTTTCCTAAACTGTTTGCCTACAATATCGTTTGCAGTCAAGAATAATATAGCAGAACAAGTAATGACAATGATACTATCATTACCTGAGCACTAAGTCAAAAGCAGTTAATCGCTGATATACCCGGTTTCACCAAGATGTACCCATGGCATTTCATTGCTTTCCAAACTGTTTATATAATTATCGGACACTTAAACTATTGGGGACTTAGGGATAGTAAGCTATATGTGTGTGGAAGGAGAGGAGATACTTTTTCTAATTTTTTTCATAATTATACACAATAATAGAAGGAAGAGTCATGAGGACAATGACATCTATATACCTATATATCTATAATCTGATCTATATATTTAAATATCCATTAACTCTACAAATACCAAACAGTTTTCTGTCTGAGTGCGTCTTAAGTACAGAGTCAAAGATTTAGCATAACTCTGAGCACAAAATGTGAGATTTAAAGGTTTATACGTGCATATTGATCACCATGTTATCTTTAACGAGAGCTGCTGTATTGTTGTGATATATTTAGTGTTACAGAGGATACAAAAGTTTAAGAAGTAGGCCAACCAGTTTTGGTCAATGACATAACAAAAAAAATCATATATGTAAAATAAGGTCCGGAAAGCTCCTTGGCCCTTGGCCTCATGTTTTACACATAAGTCTTATAGGGTAGCACTGGAACGAAAAATTGGTATTAACATGAAAACGTCGATATAACCCACCACGTTTGATTTGAAGTTTGTTTGAAAGTCACATGTATATGTAATTATGGTCAGTGAAATTTCTTACTGGAAACAGCATTTAAACTTTGAAAATTGAAGATGGAGATTCAGCTGGTGGTCCTAGAGGTAAATTCTAGCCTGCGCGATAAGTTTTGATCACAGAAATGTCTTCCTCTGGACTTCTTAAAATTTTACAATATTGAACGCTGAAAAATTTATCGAATTTCGGTTTCGCTTTTCAACACGCTGTTTTGGACGAAAAACGACAATTTTTTCCGCAATCGCCTCCTATGTTTCACCACTGCCCTATATCCTGGAAGGACAAGTTAGTTGTATTGTGAAATTGTTTTCTACAATCCTACAAACCAAATTATATTGATAGTTCATTTTTTTACTTGAATGTTTTTCGTAATTTCATTCGGGTATAACTATACCTTAGCAACTTCTTTCAGATGATTCATTGTTTGGTTCCGCTGCATCTTATTCTATTTGTAACTGAAAGGTGCTATCCCCGTTAATAGAACCTTTTAATAGAAAAAATAGATAACTTCAACATACAGACGTTAGAACGTTAAATGGAACGAGAAAAAGTCTCTGGGAATTTTCTTATAGTAGTTCATAATTTGCCATATTTTTATTGAATTTGAGTTTAGATTATGACTATGTAGACATGTTAGAACTTCCATATTGTGTATGTTTTTTGGAAGGAGGTAAGTCCGTTAAACATGTATAAACAGATTACCACAAGGTGCTGCGTCATCATGCATTTTATTTCATTGTCTACTCTATATATACTAAACAGGACACGTGCTATTCCTCACATCAAAGCACCCATCACAACTTATTTCACCGTAAGAATCTTAAGCGTCAGGTGTAGTCTATTTTTAGTATCAATGAAAGATACCTGAAGGACGACACAGATGTATGACGTTGATGAATTTATCATTATTTGTTCGCTGGATTTTTAACTTGCCTTGAGAGGTGTCATCCACTTGTCAGTCTATTGGAAAATCTTTGTTTATTAGTAAGTGAATGTATTCTATTTAACATTGATCGATTGGTGGTGAGATGCCAAAGTAAATTACAGATATATGGATGGATGTGAATGGTGTATCATAATTATCCTGTCGCAAAAATGTTTTAAGAACGGATAAACTGTTACATTTAAGAGAAAAGGGGACGTATGGAAATGGCAGAAATAAAAATCAATATGTAAATATTGACGATATTGCGAGCTAGTCGTTTTTCGATCATCCGAACTGCCATGTTACCAAACAATAAGTCTATCTCTAAATGTCTAGTATATGCACCATTCTAGTTTACAGCCTAAATGAAACGGTCAGGCTCCCTGTTATTGTATTAGCAATCTACAGAAATGAAAACAAACAAATCAAATCAATTATATAGCTTAGTACGCTTTAATTCTTAAATATATTTAGCACCATTTAAAATCATATCAAAAGGAAAATAAAAACTAAATGAATACTGATGTTATATACCACCCTGGATAGGCCATATTTTATTTATTGTTTGTAACATATTGTTAGTAAACATAGATACAATTAACTGATTTTATGCTTCAAATGATCACGATTGTACCGAAAGCATGAAACTTACAGGATGTTTTTTCTTCAACAAATTGAAACATATTTAAGAATAATTATAATAAATAAATATAAAAATGTGAGAGCTTCAAACATTATCAAATGTTCTGGAAGTATAATTAGTCTTATTCAAACTGCTGCATGTTTAAATCATTATCATCTTATCAAACATCACAGGGGTAAATACAGTTTTGATAATGTAGCACTTTGTAATAGCCACTATTGTGCTTCAGTATGTTAATCTTGCTTCCTGAAGCTTCACTGATTAACGTATTCCTGCAAATATACATTGTAACAAATTCCTATATCGGTGACGTCACGATATTTAGTATGCAGCAATGTTGATGAATGGGTTGCCAAGAGGCACACAATCATATCCCAAATCTTATTTTCGTCATTAAAGTGTAAATTACACAGCTTACATTATACAAGATTTTCACATAAATGCAGGTGTGTGGTATCTGTTTAAATTTCATCATCACCAACACGTTAAGTGTTGTCATGTTCTACCCGAGAGCCTAGCCTTTCGTCTCTGTAGATGCATTTAAGATTTATTGATAGTAGCGGGTAACCAGAGAGTAAGTTAATGAATTTTACAGCAGTATTGTTGTTGTATAGTTACACTTACAGTATATTTCTATTATACATACATCTTCTTAATTGTAACTAGGGCCGTTGCCATAGACGCGTGTACGACGAACACAAGAGCTCTGTTCATATTGAATGACATTAGCATTGGTGCCTATGTTTTTAAAAGTACAACACTGTAGCCTATATGGAAAGGGAAACGTTTGTGTCACAAGTAGACAGAATAAATTCCAGCAATCTGAATTCTAGTGTCGACATGAATAATTTCAAATATAGGTCATCAAAATACTACATTTTCATGCAAATCGCTGGGTTTAATGGATCTTTAAAAAGCAAATCATGAGAACTATATTTGGTATCACATAAATGTCAGAGATTACATTTTTCGAGATTCTATGGCAATGTTAATGGTACTCCAAATTCCTGTCATATGACATAACGCTTACTGAATGTGAACCCTAAAATCACTGTGATATGGGTGCGATATGCATTTACCTTATCACTATCAATGAGATCTTTGCTAGGTAGGACATGATGAAATTAAGGTATTGATAACAAATGTTTTATTTTCAAAATCAAAATACTGAAAAGCAACATTAATGATGATGCATAGTGCCAATGTAGTGGGGGTTTAAAATCTCACTACAAATGTTTATTGACGAAAGTGCATACTGACCTGAGAATAACATATCAATTTATTGTTTAACATCAGTCGTTTCTCGTTATAGACAATGTCTTTGAATTGTGATTAAAGTCAGAAGTATTTATTTTTTTTCTGCCGGCTGCCCGTCTGGTCATCCTTTTAATTTCTATGTGTTTTCTTTATGATCACTTCCGTGAGATTTAGGAAGGGTCTGAAGTCCGAATGATCAAATGCGTATTTCTGTATTCTGCTGAAGTATTGGTCGGTGATTGTCTGTTTGTCTTCCTCTGTCCGATTATCAGACAAGCCTTCGTAAATCACGTGATACATCCAGGGATAGGCAAAAGCCACTATTTGCCGGGAGTATTCAAGCTTAACTTTATCATCTGGAAGACATCAAATACGTTAGAAATAAATTTGTTATGAATTATCCCTCCAAATAATGGACATAAATTGTAGATTGATTGACATCTATGTTACGATTATGTTAATGAACAAACGAATACCCTAACATTACTACAACTACCATTTGTGTCATACAATTGTACATTTTAAATTTCGGACTGTTTGTCACGCATTCTTTAATCACAAGTCAGAGTTAGTTTAACTATATCTCTAAAAAGTTTGACTGTCTTTTGTTATATTTAAAGCGCTTTTCAAAACAACTTGATTGGTGAGACTGGACGCGATAGAATAGAAAGCAATATTTCCAGGCGATTTCTAAAAATGTGTCTTACCGTGATGTCCATACAAAACCGGTTGTGAAACACTGGGTGGTTTAGGCAATATGTGATGATAATCGTAGCGTTCCTTATGAACAGTTCAGCATTTGTCTAGTTTCCTGTTACAATTACGGTTTTTATGATCTATGAATTACATTTGAACATTTTATAAGGTAAGTTTAACCAGATATAAGGTGTTTGTTACCCGCTCCAGTAATATGTATTGGGGTGCATTTGTTACAACTAGAACATAATTTAATCTTCACATTAACCTTGACTAAATCATGTGCATGTTCAATTGTCACAATGTTTTCAAACAATTTGGTTACTAAACAGCCAGGACAGGTATGTTAGATGAATGGACGTTTGATTTCATGTCTGAATGGTTACACGTGTGGAAACAACTGTAGGCTAGAATAATGATGTATGAAGATGATGTACCTTTCTGAACGATGTCAAAGGTTTGGTGTTGCAAAAAGTGTTTAAATGGTTTTATTGATACAAGCTCTAGTCCAAGATCTTGTATCTCAGTCAGGCAACTAGTGAAAGGCTCCATAAAATCGGCATCTGTTCTTATTTCCTGGGTACATAAATTTGTAGCAAGGTATTCCTCCTGCGAATATGAATGGATTGATAAACTATTCGTGTGTATATAAATGAAAAACACGCTTGAAGGATGTATTTTCCAGAGAAAAATATCAGAATATATATAACCGGAAATTCATTTCCATGTCGTATTCATGATATGATACTGGCATATAAAGAAAAATACACATGAAGATGCAAATTTTCATCTGATTAAATAAACTTTAAACTGCATAGAAACAGGCTAAAATTCAAATCTATAAAACTGACTTTAACCCATTATGCAATAACTATAAAGTATCTATTGTCACAGAATGTTTTCTTCCGATAGAGAGGGATTTTAATAAGGTGTTTTTCATGATAACGATGGCGAGGGTCGCTGCAGTTTATTTTTGCACCAAAATAGCCATATTTGCAAGACCGAGATACAAGCTGAAATAGTAATTATCAGGGAAAGTGATCAACAAAATTTAATTTCCTGGATTTCAAATTCGTGTTGATACAAAACTTTTTATTTATTTTTTCTAATTTATCTTTTATTTTCGAAAATTTTACATATATGGATAATATATATAAATACACGCAAGAAAAAAAAAACTGTCACACAGACCCAAATATCCTTAACATATGCCCACACACACATACGCCCACTCACTAACTTACACACACACACACACACACACACACACACACACACACACACACACACACACACACACACACACACACACACACACACACACACACACACACACACACACACACACACACACACACACACACACACTCACACACACACACACACACACACACACACACACACACACACACACACACACACACACACACACACACACACACACACACACACACACACACACACACACACACACACACACACACACACACACTCACTTACACACAAACACACACACACACACACACTCACTTACACACAAACACAAACACACAAACACTCAGACACACACATACTCTACTCGCTCACCATCACATAATACATTTATAAGTACATAGTTTGTTTTATTAGCATTCTTCTTACCATGATACAAAATTATTATTAGTGCTATATTAATAGTAAATGTAGCAAATTAATTAGAAATCCTAACTTCACTTTATCTTTACATAACCCTTTTCTATATCATTTAAGGAGAAACATCTACTCAGTGATAGCTCACGCTTCATTAAACATTTTGCCTTTGATGTTCGACATGTGTTGAATTCATCTTAAAACATAATAATTTAAATATTGTTTCGCCTTTTAGGTTTTAGTTAAATGATACACAGCTAATATAATCTTACTTTAAGTCTAATGTAGATAAAGTAGGCCTTGTATTCTGCTATAGGTTGAATTCATAAATATACATTTATATGTATTAAAAACTAAAATATTATAATTACAGTATTTTTTATTTGTATCATGGAATTTGGTAAAATTGTTAACATACTGCACGTTGTACGAAGTATAATATGTTTATTACAAACACTGCGAACCTGTGTGATGATTCCGTCTCTTGCCATATCTGTCACAAAACTTGCCAAGTGTTTGATTCCGTATAATTCCGAAAAAGGCTTCTCATTCTTGGTGTCTGCTGATATGTTCATAGTTATCAGAAATCCCCCTAAAATATCAGTATCCGGGTATAAACATGAAAAAATCAATATCTGGGAATGAAATTGAAAACATCAATATTGCGGTATGAATATAAAAATATATTTCATTTAAATGAATTATGATAACCTTAAGTATTTGTTAAATTATCTTTAATCGTCTCATCAGTGATGCTAAGATCCAGAAATATTGAAAATTAGGGGTGACTGACTTATTTTTTATTACTCTGAACTAAACATTACTCTTTAAGTGTGTCGTTTGTATATTCTCTTAAGAGGTACTATAGATAAAAAAATAATCTTAGACTTAATTATTGTTTGAATATTTGCAGTAAGGGATGCTTTCATGTTTCAAGGCAGCGATTAAAATTAGGAAGAAAATTTAAAAAGAAATGTACGTGCATTGTAGTAAATGGTAAATATCAACCCTCATGTGATATAGTAAAATACATGCATTTAGTACTAAGTGTTATGACGTTGTAGCTGATGAACGAAGGGAGGTAACCCCCGTTGATTGGTCATTGTTTACAAATTCAACCGACTTTACAATTAAATGTACAAGTGAAATGCTCCATATCATTACCTGTCTATAAGTCAATACGATACCGTCAAAAATATATTACATTGCATATCCGCTCGTTAGTATCTAAGGAGCTGCATAGAAAAGGGAGGTGGAATACTCCCTATTTTGAATAATTCGATCGATTACAATATTTGACAATTATAAGAGTTCGTTAATTGCATATGAATATTCCAAACCCAGAAATCAATCGAAATTAAATGTTCTTGTATATAAATGACACTTACCAGGTTTAAGTTCCTTTCCCCTAGATATCACAAACGCCCTCCAGTCAGCCTTTCCTTGTTCTTTCATCAAACGTTCTTCATTTTCATCGGCATAAGCAATGCTGGCACCTTGTTTGATGTAGCATATTCTGTAATATGTAAAAACTTGCGATTTTTTTAACAAAGATTTTATTTGTAAAAGTGTACGTTTTTATCATTAGTTTGAATAGAAAGATTGCACAACCAGGAATTACATTTTTGTTTTTGTTTTTCGCCTTTTCATATGCCCTGACTTAAAATAAGATAACAAAGCAAAACACTTGTAATTGACATCGTTTTTATAAGAGAAGATTTGTTATGCGATTTGAAGATGATTTCCTTAACTGTTGATACAAGAAGTCGCCTAACAGTAAATCATGTATTGACATTTTCATTTTATAATGTGAAAAATACTTCCGACTTCGAATGCTTTAGTGACGGAATAAGGAAAAAAAAGAAAGGTGTTGATATAGCCACGTCGGTAAGTCCTTGTAAATTTCAGGTAATAAATTGTAGGAATTTTAACACTAACCCAACACAAAAAGGTGATAAAAAGCGTCTTCAGCTTCATCGACCATGCCCTCCATGATTGTTTTAATGGAAACTAGTTAGTATTTACAATCCATTCATTCCAGGTCAAGGTATTTAACATGGTGTTGAAATGTACATGGCCACACTGGGCCTTTGGTATAGCTATTTCGACCTCCAACCCCTCCTCCCTTTTCCTACCCTACAAAATGGGATTATAAATGTCATACTTTTATCACAAATACGTACCGTTTAGATAAGTAATGTGTAGCTACACTAGAAATAGCCAGGTCCACAGAATTGTCGGGAAGACATTGCTCATACATTGTCCTCGGTATCATCACTGGATATATGTTACTGTAGGCAGGTAACCTCAACCCTTGTTCGAAGCCTCCTTAAATAGGAAATAATGAAAAGATACCCCAAGGTAAAACCATCTGATGGTTATAATAATACACTCATTTAAAAATATGAATTGCACCAAAGACAAATAAATGAGTACTGTGAACGAGCATACTTTAGCACTTATCTTATATTCGCACTTTTCGAACTAATTATTGCGTTTAAATATGACTGTAAACTGAGATTTCTGTATTTCGAAAAAATACAGTGATAAGTTAAAATTGATATTGCGACAATATGTGATTGTACCAAAATACGTGCGTAAGCAGCAGCATTAATCCAATTTTAGCATTCGATACAGTAGAGTAACGGAATGAAGTGAATTGCGTTATAGAGCTGTATTGTCGGTACAGGATTCTTTAGTTAAACGTTAAACGTAGATGGCGAGTGCGGAAATTAAAAAAAAGTCCAAATCTGAAATGAAGTACCTGATAAAGAAAATCCTTATTCCGTAATTCATCTTTGACTTGACAGTTTCAACATTCTTCAGTTCAGTTTACCCATTAAAGATAGTTACTGAAAAAGCTCCTTATATGATTCAAGTCACATTCAGTCATTTCAAGTTTAGATTTCTAAGGAGGTGATTCATTAAGCTATATATATACTAAACAAAAAAAAAAAAAAAAAAAAAGGTAACACTACTTTATTCTGTGATTAATTGATTAACCCCTTCATAAATCCTTACCAATCATGTACGAGTAAAGTAATTGATCAATTCTGATAAAACTGCAGTCATGGTTCATTATAAAACTTCGCGTTCAGTTGATTTTATTCGACTGTAAAGGACGTTGGAGTCAATTTCAAAGGTACCAACTTTAGTAACTGGTATGGCCACCGTTTGCGAAGTAAACAGCATTGCAGCGTCGTCGCATGGAACTCGTAAACCGGCGAATAATTCGAGGAGAGATGTTGTTCCATTCAGCGATCAAGGCTTGTGCCAGCTCCTGCAAGACGGCTGATTTTGACGTTCTCTCAAGCGTCGCCCAAGAACGTCCCAGACATGCTCAATCGGTGACAAATCAGGTGATTTAGATGGCCAATCTAACACCTGTACGTTATTCTGCTGCAAGAAAGTTCTGCTGATGCGACTGGTGTGCGCTGGTGCGTTATCCTGTTGAAAAATGGCGCCAACGCCATGGCGTCTTAAGAATGGCAGAACCACTGGTCTTAAAATTTCGTCCAGATATCGAATGCTGGTTAAATTGCCATTTAACACAACAAGCCTGGTACGAGTCCCCCCACAAATACCACCCCAAACCATTACACTTCCGCCGACAAAGCGGTCCCGTTCTGCGACGCAGCAGTTCGCAAAACGCTCCCCTCGTCGCCTCCACACTCTGCGTCTTCCGTCACCGTGTTACAGACAAAACCTGTACTCATCTGAAAACAGAACATTGTTCCATTGTCGTAAGGCCCAACGACGGTGAACACGGGTCCAGTTACGCCGATTATTACGGTGACGTCGCAACAAATTGGGTCCAGTGTAGGGACGCCGCGCTTTCAATTGGTAGGCCCTCAACCTGTTGCGGACTGTTTGGGGAGACACACGACGCCCAAACAATGTCCTTGTAGTCTCTACTGCGGTTACGAATCGATTGCGCAAGTGTATCAATCGTATACGACGGTCATCCCTGGCGGTCGTTTTACGGGGTCGGCCACTTCGGGGACGATTGGATGTTGACCCAGTTTGGTTTAAACAACTTACCAACTGGCAAATTGTCTTAACACTGCAACCAAAATGCCGTGCAACTCGACGGCGAGACTCCCCAGCCTGGATCATGCCTACAGCCCTTTCTCTCTGTACTTGTGACAGCCGGGGCATAATGATAAAGTTGATAGATAGCAAGATTCGGTGATTTCTAATTCCTAAGGATCTAAGGAACAGTTGTCAATTTGAATGTTTATGAAATTCAAGCGAAGATACAAGTTAGTCGCAGAAAACCTCGTGCAGCTCTTTCGCTAATACAGACTTTCACGCTTGAATGATTTTGGTAACCCCCTTGGATTTTGTAATGTAAAACATTACCATTTTCGAATATTGCACAAACGTCATTTTGTTTTCACTCATTTACAGATATTCGCCAATACAAGGAAACATGTTAACCTTTCTTTTTTTGTTGAGTATATATACAAATACCGAACAGAGTTAAAAGTGCCCTCAAAATCGATTGGAAAGAAAGAAACACCAGTTAAGTTAACTAAGAAAAGGAAAATGCATTAATCCAGATATCAAAATGATTTGTTGAAATGACTCTGACGTAATGCACCGCTTGTTGGCTACATGTAAAGCACAATAAATATACTATGACAGAATTTGCCTCTAAGAACTAAATGGTATCACAAAGAAAACGACATGTATTTAATCCAAACTATTTTGTAGGTTAAACATAGTTCATATAGTTCACACACACACACACACACACACACCCACACACACTAAACACACACACACACATACACATACACACACACACACACACACACACACACACATATATATATATATATATACAACCTTGGATAACCTGACTCAGCCGACAGAAGTCGTTCGTAGGTTGATCGTTAAAGCACACCACTATTGTTTGTTCTTGCCCACAGTCTTGTTTTATAATTTCTGGAAAACAAATGTTATGTTTAAGTAATTTCCTGTGTCATTTTCATAATTTATTATTCTGTTCATAATTATTGTGCAAATATATTGCTGTTTGTGATATGAAGATAATTGACATATTTACCAATTATTTCTTTCATTAGAGAAAGAGATGCACGCCCATCTGCAGTTCCGAAATCTGCTACACATACTGGTTGTTCTGCCTCGAATACTGATTTAGACTGCAATGTTTTTCCTGCAATAAAAACTACGAGTTTATCTAATGACTACATATACAGTAAATAATCAACCATCTTTGCATTCAAAATAACAACAAAACTTCAATTATTTCGAAAAGTAGTAACAGAAAGAAATTTAAAATCTCCGTTTGAAAGTGAGAAAAACTCATCGAGCGAAACTTTTTTCACTTACATACGAGAAATGTTTACATGGTCTGCAGCAAAGTAGGTGTTGTCAGGGGAGTGCACCTTACATAATGAGTGATAAAATGACATTATATCAAACAAGACCTTCACATACCAAATGAACTCTAATTCGTGAAAAAAAAACATCTGATCACCTGGCAAACCAAATTGATTCCACAGAGGTACTATGACCTCCTCTCACATTTTAAACCTCTTGATCGCTTCCATTCAAGTCATGAAGTGTTATAGTAAAATGTTAAACATGTGAAAGTTATTTCGAGCCTTTAAGATAAATAAAGTTTAAATCTATTTTACTTAATGAATACATCCTCTATGATTATTTCCTACTTAGACTATCGATGATTGCAGGTCGACTGAGAGAACCAGCGTGGCAATGGGCGTTGTACATATCATCTACTTCCTCACTGATCTTTGTGATCATCTTCATAGTCGGAAAATAACTATAAACGAAACACAAAATGAAAAGAACAACATAGCATGCAGATGTTAACATATGTACCGGATATAGATCATAATTCTTTTTAGATGTAAGATTCGTTGTCGATACTGTTGTGATATGCAGCAACATGTCTCTGTATATCTCTCTTATTACATTCAAGACATCACGTGGTTTAAATGAGTCACCTTGAAACAGGTCTAATAAGCCAAAACGGAGTACGAGATAAATGATTGCAATTTGGTGTTTTGGCAAGGTTTTCCGCGTGGGAAGAAAGTTGACGAATATATTAGTGTTATTTAGCGTTATTTTGGATTTGGTTCTATAAACAGTGAAGGACAAATCTATGTTATGTGTTCACTAAAAGGTATACTAGGGCCGTACTCGTGTAGTATAGATCGTTTAGAAATACAAGAATGTGTTATACTGGTCAAATTGAATTCGTTGGAAGTTTTTCGTATGTAACATTTATATTGCGAAACGTAAACCAGGGACACGACGCCATATATAGGTGAGAAAGATGACCCTATTTCCCTTCCTATGATACGTTTGTGATCAGCACAATAGCTACAGCTAAGCAATGAATATTCGTCAGATGGTATACAGGTAAATAGCCAAAGGACGACGGCAATATAACTAAATTGTATTAATATCGACTATTTGCTGCCATTATGAATGATAAATGCTTGTATTACAATTAACACAAATGATATATCTGAAACAAAAAATAAAGATTAACATTCAACACCCATTAAAGACCTCAACAGATTCAAATCCGGGGACAGCCAAAATAGTATTCTTACTCGTCATCAGAAACCGAAATCTTATGAAAAAGGTTTTTGTTTTTAAAGACATCTGGACAAAATCTTACATATTTCAGCTTGTGTTATAGCTTCGATTCCATACCTTGTTTTCGTGACAACCTTGACTGTGTCTATGACGATGACTCACAACACAAGGTTTTGAGTGTTCCAGGTTGATGGAAATTGTAGGGCTGTCATAAGGATCTTGATTAAAATTGTTCTTTATCCTTAACCGATTGACATTTGGACGAGTTTGGTGTTCGTTGATGGCCTATTGGCAATGTAACTGTAGACCAAGTTTTAATATATTTATGTTTGGATTAACGTTCTGTTAGCATGTTGATTGTTTCATACAATTGATATTTTCTTTGGTTTAAGTGGTTTTAACGATTTCGTAACATTCAGTTTAAGTCATGACGTAACGTTAATTTCCATAATATTACATAAGAATTAATTACAAACTGTCGCAGCTAATGGAAAACACCATATGACGTATTTTATTAGTACCAGATAAACACAATCGATTGCATGATAAACTACAATTTCATATACGTATGAAAAAAAAGCAAACGTTAAACATTATTGATAACATTTTTGATCAAAGTATTATCTTTCACTAGTGAAAAAAACAAACTTTTGCGTTCCTACACCAATGAAAAGAGAGAACATAAATCATCAAATAAGATTGACAAATCATAAAAGCCGGTACCAAAACACAAAACCAGACATCTAAATGGGTTGTTTACTTGTGACACGACCTTCAATTCCATGGTAAACGTTCATTTTCATCAGTCAGTAAAATGAAACGCAAATTATCTAATCGGAGACCAAATCAAAGCTCAAACCGCATGTCTTGAATGTGGAACAAACACATTTGACATTTCAAGGGAATTCGTGTCATCAAAAGAAACAACTGAAGGTTGCCGCTATATTTTCAGCAGCGTGGTAACTTGCCATATATTAAACTCTCTTTAAACGTTTTAAAACAACTTTTGTCTCTTACGGACATGAATAAGCAACATTTTCTATGTGAAGATGAAAATTAATTTACATTTAATTTTATTTTTGTATTTATATATTTCAAATGATGGATTACATTTTGTCGAATACTGTTATAATTAGTAAGCAAAGGCAGCATCCTATTTTTATAATTGGTCTACACACGCCAGTAATTTGTCTATTTTGTTTGTGGAAAAGTCATAAAGAGAATACACAATTGTGCATTTAGTAATAAAATATATTTCGCAAGTGTCTCATATATTTTTTGTATCTAAAATAATAAGATATTAGACAAATACATTTTCAATTACCGAAGACACTATCAAATATCCTCTATATAGATATAAAAATATCCTCTATATAGATAAAAAAATATCCGCTATATAGATATAAAAATATCCGCTATATAGATATAGAAATATATGCTGTATAGATATATAAATATCCGCTATATAGATATAAAAATATCCTCTATATAGATATAAAAATATCCTCTATATAGATATATAAATATCCGCTATATAGATATAAAGATATCCTCTATATAGATATATAAATATCTTCTATATAGATATAAAGATATCCGCTATATAGATATATAAATATCCTCTATATAGATATAAAAATATCCTCTATACAGATATATACATATCCGCTATAGAGATATAAAGATATCCGCTATATAGATATATAAATATCTTCTATATAGATATAAAATATCCTCTATATAGATATAAAAATATCCGCTATATAGATATAAAAATATCCTCTATATAGATATATAAATATCCGCTATATAGATATAAAGATATCCTCTATATAGACATATAAATATATTCTATATAGATATAAAAATATCCGCTATATAGATATAAAAATATCCTAAATATATAGATATAAAAATATCCTATATATAAAAATATCCGCTATATAGATATATAAATATCCTCTATATAGATATAAAAATATCCGCTATATAGATATATAAATATCCTCTATATAGATATAAAAGTATCCTCTATATAGATATATAAATATCCGCTATATAGCTATAAAGATATCCTCTATATAGATATAAAAATATCCTCTATATAGATATATAAATATCCGCTATATAGATATAAAGATATCCTCTATATAGATATAAAAATATCCTCTATATAGATATATAAATATCCGCTATATAGATATAAAGATATCCTCTATATAGATATATAAATATCTTCTATATAGATATAAAGATATCCGCTATATAGATATATAAATATCCGCTATATAGATATAAAAATATCCGCTATATAGATATAAAAATATCCTCTATATACATATATAAATAGCCGCTATATAGATATAAAGATATCCTCTATATAGATATAAAAATATCCTATAAAAATATCCGCTATATAGATATAAAACTATCCTCTATATAGATATAAAAATATCCGCTATATAGATATAAAGATATCCTCTATATAGATATATAAATATCTTCTATATAGATATAAAAACTATACTATACACACAACCTTATAACAAATCATAATTACGCGAGCAATTTTTCAACCGATATATTTAACCACAAATAAAAAGAAAGAAATAAGATCAATATCACTGTATGGTTGAAAAACGCCCATTTCATGTTTTTCTTACCTTGACATGTTCCTTTGTGCTTAGTAGCTGATTCTGTTTTATGAGTTAGATATTCTTCACTTTTGAAGTTGTGAGCACTTGCCTCTTTTAGACTACTGGAACATTGAAATGTAATATATAAGGCAATTAGTGTACCACGATATTCACCCATATGTGTAATATTCTAGCCATTGAACCAACTTTCGATTTTCATATCAACATGTATTACTAATCCTTTATTTAGCACAGAGCATTGTATTATGCTCTGACAGACATGCAGATATCGCTTTTCTAAAAAAAATTTTTTTTTTTGCATAAACTTTAAAGGTAATATAGTATTACTTAAATAGCTCGTCATAACTTGAGTCTTGTTTGTCTGGCCCCGTATTCACAATCATGTTCTCGTTAAACATGTTTATCTTAGGAAACACAATTACATAATCGAGTACACACTGGAAACCTTACGATATTGATAAATCGAGATTCACAAGTTCTAAACTGGAACGTTGAGTATCTTCACCTTTTTTTTAAGATCTACGGCTTTTGAACGCAACACTTAAGAGTTTGATATTTTCATTAATTGTATTGACATTAAAGTGTTTGGATGCAATTGAAGAAAAGATTGAACAAGCTGATTTTCCATCAAATTAATACGGTCTTTAAATCTGGGTTTATATAATTTGGTAAATGAAACAGTTTCTGAGCGAATCTCCCTCGATAACAACATTCCATGTTTGACTTCCGCGCACAGCAGCCTATAAACTATAAACTATATATGTCTGTTTTGTTTATTGTTGCTTTCAATATGTAATTAAAATGAAATAACTTATATAATTCAAAAATAATATGAACTTATTTTAACTGAAGACAAATGTGTTTGTTTCTCTTGCTATTGATGTTCACTTCAAACAGAACACAGAAAACTGAGATGGAATTTATTTCAACATCGAAATGTTTCTCAATGATACAAGGTCACATCGGCAGACGGTGATTTATCTACATGTAAATCAGAGCTAACAAATGTGTGAAATAGAGTTACACTCTGGCGTGTCATCCAGTACATTCTACTTCCTGTCGTACGCGATGTTTTAGAGCGCATAATTTATCGAGGTGTGGGCGATGACATGAATTAAACATTATTAGCAATCCACAGTCCATGTTCCCACTTACCGAACTGGAGCATGTATCAGAATACTGTGCATTTGTTGCACTCGTAAATACCTGGTTTGGGATACTCGTCTCGAAGTCTATCCAAAATAAAAACCGATGCAACACTTAAGTAGTTGTATTTAGTTACAGTGATATTCTGACATGTGCTACATAAAGGCATGGAAATGCTGTGTTCGCCCTTTGATAATGGTATAGGTTTACATAGACACCAACAAAAAACTTGCAGAGTTATATAACATTGTTCTGATGATAACTGTTGGAACTAACAGGACGAAACTTTCTCAACTGAGACGAATCCATAGACGCTCGGATAGAAAACACAATTAAATCGTCACGACTGTTAAACACAGAGATTTGTGTTATAGGAAAGTATTGTACATTTTTTAGCCTATTATTTCATAATATAATGGCGAAATATGAGATTTCATATTTGATAAATTTAACTTCGTCTCACCG